CCCCCACCCCGGGGCGGGCAGGTAGGTGCCCCGCCCCCAGCGCGAGCCGCCCCCCTCGATCCCCCTAGCCGCGCGCGCCCCGCCCGGTTGGGGCGGGGAGACTTAGCGAGAGGAAGGAGTCGATCCGCTGCGCGCCCATTCCCCACGCCATAAGCTCGCCGAGACCAGTGGAGGGACAATCTATTGGCACCCCGGCGGGGGAGGGGCAGAAATGCCCCGCGGGGGTGGGGAGGTGAGACACGGACATCACCTTGGAACCGAATTGGATTGGGGGATGAATTTGGTGTGGGGTGCCTGTGGACCCTTGAGGTGACCGCGGTGCGGCCTGGCACCCGCACACTCCTGTGTGCACGAGGTCCCTCCAGGGCCCACCTGCAGGGGTCTCCTGAGAGGAAGGGGATACGTGGATCCTTAACCCATCATTGCATCATCACCAACCAGAAGGGGAGAGAAGCATAGCAGCCCACGGGACTCTACTAGACACCACATCCCCAACCTTTAAACGGGCTAGCTGGTCCTGGTGTGGTCCGCGCGCATCCCAAGGCGCATGCCACACTAACCACCCATCACCGCCGGCATTCCCAGGAAATCGGTGGAGATGAAGTTCTAGGACGCGTGGCGTGGCCCTTGACGCCGCCTAGGAATATGTGCATTGTGCGGGGCTGACGCGGCGGGGCGCAGCGCTCCTAAGTGGGGTGGGCACAAAACTTCCACTGGCCACCATCAGTTCGCATTCTAAAATTTGCCATGGACTGAGTATCAACTTGCAGCGAGGAATTAAGTGTAAAGTTGGCAGGCTGCCTTAGGTTTTCTAGAGTTAACATCAGTTTTGACAATACGCGTTCCTTATACGTTTTACTCCCGGCGCCGGGGCGCGCCTGCCGGGTAGGACTGAGGCGCAGGAAGCTGCACATTTCGATTCTTCAATTGCTCAGAAGCATAATCACGTCGCTCCTCTTTTCTTCCCTTTCTGCAGGTTTCGACTTGAATCTGAAAAAGCCTCTGATGCCCATTTTTCACTAGAGGACACTCGGAGGGGGCAGGGTCTCCACCTAAATTGCTGCGTGAGCATCTAGCAGGACAGACTGGATAAAACGTGTCCACGTTTACATCACACATCTGTGCAAATGCAGGACCCTGCGGATACGCCGGGCTGGCTGGTCAGACTTGTGTGTAGACACACGGGCGCATGCACACGCACGCGCGCGCGTTCACACACACACACCCAAAATTACCTCCGGGATGGAGAAAGCCGCTACAGATTGGCCAGCAGAGCCGTCACTCACACCCAAGGGGCAGGGAGACTTTGAAAAGCAGTTTCTTTTTTCTCTATCCTCTGTGCCGTTTCGTATAATTATAAAACAACGGCAGAGCTCTGAAAGTTAGCCATCTACGCGGAAAGAGTTTGCTTTCTTAACGGGGCGGGGTTGGGGGGCGTCAGGCGATACCTATTGAAATATATCTTGTACTTCCACAATGGACGAAAAGGGAAATTAGCAGTCTGGTGAGGGAGCTCCCGAGTAGGGAGGAGGGGGGTCAACCGGGAGGGGTGGACTCAGGGTAGAGTTGTTCTCAACACTCGAAAGAGACTTTGACCTTACACTGATTTTGAAATCAGAAAATGTTTATCACAGGTCAGATCATAACAAACCCTCTTCCCTAATTTTTGAACTCATTTTCATTTTATTATTTAAGCATGCGCTAACAATCATGCTTCCTTAAGAAAGAACTGACCTATTTTTGGCTGGAGATAAAGGACCATGTTAACAGATGTTAATCTTGTAATCTGTTTTTCCTGTAAGCACTTTACATACCAGGGTTTCAGACCTTAAAAATAACATCTTTTCCAAAAAGACCTGACGTCACAATTCCATGAAAAAAAATCACACTCCCCCTCCAGTTTTCTTCCCCTGCAATGATTTCAAAGACATTAAATCTTTTTCACTTTATAAATGCTGATTTGTTCTGCCTCAACTCCCACAGGCTTTTATTTGCATTTCAAATTCCACAGGTTACACCAGTCGCCTTTTCAAAAAATGTAAACCAACAATGAGGCAGCAAATGGCTTTTTGTGCATCTGGATTAAATAAGGCACAGAATGAATATATTTAAAAAGAGGGCTGAGCAAGTTGATGTCTGCACACCCGGAGACCAAGTGACTCTTTATCAGTAAGCCGGCGGAATGAGTAAGATACAAACAGCCCCAGATCTCCCGGGCTGAGCCTGGTCGGCTGCGGAACCCTTATTAACTTTGGTAATAATTGAGGCTGACTTAAAGACCCACACTTTTCGGGTAAAAAGCCGATTCTTTTGGGTCTCTAGTTGCAGGGATCCACTGGGTTCCTGGCTCAAAATGCCTGTTCATCACCACCCTCCAACCTTCTTCCATAAACCTCTGGTTTAAATACCCTACTTGGCTGGCTTTTAAACTTATTCATACAAAGTTTCTTTAAAACTTGACAAGGTGGCTTAATCTAAATATTGATCGCAACTGTTCAGTTTGTTAGTTCTCCCTAGAAATGGCAGGAGGCGCCTTTCCAACCCCCACCCCCGCCAGCACACACCCCACTGCATTCTTCTCTTTTATACACCCGTGTGTGTGTAATGTATAAACATATACGCGTATCGCCATCAATACCTCCCCCACCCCAACCCTGCTCTGACCCCAGCAAGACTGGACGCATCTCGCTGGAATCCCTGCCGCCCAGACCCCCACCCCACTCGGAGTCACTTAGAGAACCTCGCCCCAGCCCCCGCCCCCACCCCGCCTGAACTTCCCTTCCCAAAACTCTCACTTCTTCAATGTTAGGGTCACTCTAAAGCTCCCGGCCGATGGGCAGTCACCCTGGGAGGGGGCAGCAAAGACCACCAGCCCCCCATACACACGAAAACTCGTCCCCTAAGCAGCAGCGCTCGGTGCCCACAGGCATCGATTCCATCCGCCAAACCCTTAATAATTGAAGCGGCTCCTCGGGACCCGCAGCCCATCACCCACCTTCATTAGCCGGAGCGTTTTACTTTAAAGTAAGGCAATTTGCTCTTTGTCTCCTAATGGATGGAAAGCGCATCCGAGCTCCCCTCCTCCCGCGTCGCCTTTGACGAAGTGTACAAAGCCAGAGCCTCTTCCGCGCTCCCACCCCGGCCCCCACCCCGCCCCTCCACTGCGGTAAAAAGCCACCTCCTGGGCGCTCGCCCCGCCGCCCGAAGTTGCATCTTCCCCTCTCCTGGAATTGCAGTGCAGGGCAACTACCAACAGGGAAAGCCAAGTCGCCCTCCCCGCACCCAGGGAGCCCCTCTCCGGTGCGCCCCCGCCCCATGGCTCACATCAGGATCCCGGGCATGTGGAGGCCCACGACCCTCTCGCCCCCACCCGCCCGTGGGCTCCGCAGCATCCCAGCCCCGCGGCCCCTACCTTGGCGGGGAGGCGGCGGACCGGGGGAGGAGGACGCGCACGCCCCGCGCATGTGAAGGTGAAGCCGAGCGCCCGCGGCGCGGAGCCGAGCGCTGCACTAGACCGACCGCGCCAGCTGCGCCCGGGCGCGGGGGACGCGCGAGGGCGCGCGGGGCCCGCCACGCGCCCGGCCCACTCCCCACGCAGCCCGCGCGCGCCCTAGACGCGCCCGCCCGTTGGGGGCCCGGGACTCAGCCCGGATCCCCGGACAGCACGGCGCGAGGTGGGGGCCGGGCTCTGGCGAGCCAGCGCAGGCCCCAGGCTTCCCCCAGCCCCGGAATGGTCTGCCCTGTAGGAAACGCACACGCTTCACTATTGTCTCATCAGCGCAAAGTTCTGCCACACTGCAGAGAAAGTCTGGAGGCTCGTGATGACTCAGACTCGGATAATCCTTCCCCTAATAGCACTGAATCACGACTCGGGCGGCTAGTGGTCGCCCCTTCTTCCCAAGGTCTCAGGCTGCTACAGCTCCAGTTCCTGGAGGCTGTTTACGCGCGCACACACACAAACACGCACGCATCCATCCATACGTGCAGACGTGCTCAGGATGTAGGTCCAGCCGGCTCAGGCACCTGGGCACGGAGCCTCGAGAGCGGATCTAAACGCGGAGACCCTCCTGGTAGTCCCTGAGGCGTGCGTGTTCACTGAACTTCCTAGGAATGTTTTGGGGAGTTAGGATGGAGAGTCCCAATACCCTAGTCCTGAACACAGAACAGAGAAAAGACTGAACTACTCTACAAAGTGGAGTTTGAACTCGATTGTCAACGGTAGTGTTTACTTGTATCCTTGAAAGTTTAACTCATTTTGCTTGTTCTTAAAACTTCATTTCGTCA